CTCTGCCAGATTCGACGTACAATTTCTTTTCGATTATCGGGCGGGGAACGAAAGCAAACGACCAACGACTATGGTAAAATATTGCAATAATCAATAATCATGTTGCCTGCTATGCAAATCGAGGAATTCCGACATGACCGCAGATCAAACTTCGAAATGCAGCAGTGTATACCGGTTACAGTGGCGCAGTACAACAGAGGTCGACTTTGAACGCAGCAGTGTCTGTTCAATTCCTGGCAGACGGCAATCTTTCTATTAACCGCGAAGTCCACTGACCTTACTATATACCACTTCAAACTACGGTTGCTCAATCGGTAGAGCGTTGGATTCACGACCGAGATGTCCCGGGCTCGAGTCACCGTTACGGTCACTCTCCTTTTCTACTCTTCTACTCTTGAGATTAAAGAACGGGTACTACTTTGTCAGAAACAAACAGCGACTACTTACTATGCTTCTCATACAGCCGCTATCGGCTCTGCCTTTAAATTAATTCGGTCTGGCCGTCGGCAGAGAAATAGAGACAGCGCCTCGCCCACGCCTACCAGAAACGGCGCCTGAATAGCTCCAGTTTGAAAGTGTAATGAAGACCGGCAATCCAACGATTGCATTTCCTGTTGTTCTTCTACTAATAACCAAAATGTTACACTTAAGCTGCAAACTAAATCGGCGACAAAATGAGGGGCTACGCTTCTGCTTTCTTTTCCCATGCTTCTGCTACTTAATAACAAGCAAAACTCATCAAGGATTTTGCTGACCTTCGCTTAGCTTGAGCATAGCATATCAACGCCAAGCGTTCATTTTCCAATGCTTAACCACTTATATATAGTACCAACTTTTCGCTCCTGTTGCCAACGTTTCATAAAGATGAATTTTATTCTTTCACACAGACCGATGATGTAATGATCCAGAAGTTTTGAGAAATATACTGCGAATGATTTCAGTGACTTGACCGTCGATAGACCGTTCTTTCAATTTCGTAACATCACCATCTGACACCATACAGTTCTCCTAAGTGTCGTAATCCTACTTTAAAATCATAGAAACTATCTTACCTACCCTTCTTTAAAAATATTCTATGAAAGGATGCCAAAAGTCTATCTTACGGCTTTTCGATCACAGTATCGTTTGCCCGCCCCCTCAAAGAGCAGCCTTTGAAATTCATGCCCGATTTATGCGATGGAACTGCATGGTTGGATTTTAATGAAATTCTGACATTGTCAAAATATAAAGTACAGTTGGAATGTAAATTCAACTGTACATTACTGTATGTGATCAATTAGTGCAGGAGCTGAGATAAAGCTGACAAGTCTTTCTCTGCACCTCTGATCTCCCATTATCGGCATGCTCCCTTCGGACGAAGAGCGATTCCTTCGATACCCAAACTCTCCGCACCTTCGGTTAGAGCAGTACACATTGAAGGTAAAATCTCACAAAATGCATCGCAAAAATCAGAAGTTGAAGACTATTAGGAAAATTGCATTCCTATGAAAAATGTTATTGAGTGTATCTTCATCCTGCGTCCCTCCATACGGTAATATAAATTAAATACAAAAAATTAGTTCTTTTAATGCCGTCAGAAACAAGCATTCACAAGATTTACTGATTGATAGGAAATCAAAAGTTAGAGTAAATGATGCTTTCTTAAGGTTACGACCACCTGTTAACCATGAGGAACACAGTCACTGTTGGCCGACAGACGGCACAGTTGGACCCTATTCAAGAACATACAGTTCTGCGTCTTGTATGAACCATAAGGTGAATTCCTTCCTTACGAAAATGATCGAAATACTAAACAATTGATTTCCATTTTCAGCCAGGGGCCTCAGAGGGTGAGATGATGGGTAGAAACAACATACGCCTGAAACGTAATTTGTTGGAAACAGTCAGTATCACTATATTGCATTACTGAACAGGTCGAGGTTGAAACCTCTGTTAGTCGATCAGTGCTCTAGCCACGGTGCTTGTTCGGAAACAACGGAGCTGGGGAAGACGTCGTTCTTCATTTGCATTTTTCCTTTCAACCGAAAGATTAACGAAGTGCTTTAGGAAAAGTGTTACAGCGAATCCTCAGCAGAAACCAGCAGCAGATTCCAAATTGTATTCTTTTAGTAAGTCACAGTTTTGTAGCGGTCGGAAAGAAATATTATGATCCCATTATTAGTCACCGATTAATGTATGATGCGCCAAATGGCTTTCACGCTGTGTGCGGAGCATGACATATTTACCTCAAATAATTTACATGCTCTCTCGACTCCGCCAACCGCAAAAAACAACTAACAACCATGACGCAGTATTCATGCAAGCGACCGCAGAAAAGAAAACGTTCGAAAAGGAGGCCAAGACACGAACAGGATGTGACTGAAGATCTTATTTCTAAATGATGTTCAGCCAATCGTCATTGCATGCTGCATTCATCCGTGGAGAACTTCTGTCGGTTCTTCAGCCGCAGTGTTGGCAAAATATTTAATTCAGCAGCCGCCGGATCGCATGATCGACACTAAACTTCTTATATAACCAAAACTTACATACCTCGGTGTCGTCAGACGTGCCTCCATTGTTTGTCAGCCGACAAGCTCGAGTGGTCGCAGACGTAGTTTCCGGACGTCAGCGCGTTTTTACGCTTCCTCGATCATCTGTCCGCGTCGGTTGCTCTTTCTTCGGCTCGGCTGTACATCAAAAAGCGCAACTTCGATGCACACGAAGAATCGAAGCGCGGAGCGCGGAGTCAGACTTCTAATTATAATAAAAACATGGTAGGCTTCAATCGATGGATGACCGACTTGTTGTTCACAAGTTCAGCTCGGTTTTGCCCTCGGTCATAGATAAGGCGAGTGATTGCGATGACGAGGGCGAGAGAACTCGCCACACACACACACACACACACACACACACACACACACACACACACACACACACACACACACACACACACACGCACACACACACAAGTTGTTGGTTCGTTATATTTAGTATCGCTGGCTGGCTGGTGTTGATCGTTTAGACGGTCGTTAGCCGTTTATACGTAATTCGCCGGATGAACGAATATCAGCGGCCGGGGCCAAGGCGGATCACCGTCGGCGGTCGTCGATTCAACCGCCTTCGGCTGAAACGAATGTTACAAGTTTTTACCTCTGACTGGCGCCGTACTCCGAACTCCGACGACACGTCTTCGCCAACGCCTGTTCGAATTTTTGTCTCAAACACTGCATCGACTGAGCCAGCTCCGGCCTTTTGCTGTTCGTGCTGGTACACCAGCCGAAGAACTGTTGAAGGGAGATTTCCGTAAACACCAGCGGAGTGACAGCGACCTAAAACCTTAGAAAATTGTACAAAACTCGTTGATAGGCGAACCTACCTTGTAAACACTACATAAAGTATATGCCATGAAGCAAAGCAACAGCAACAAAAATCCATTCATCCAGTTTAATAATCAGATTTAGTTTTAAAATCCTCCACCATCAATAATTAATCACGGTTGTCGCCGTTATCATTATTTTCTGATCGGAGGTATGCCCCATCTAATCTTCAAGTTAACGTCGTAGCTGCCAAAATAGTAACTGTTTGTTCGTTTACGAAGCTGTCTAAATTCTGAATAATACACTGCCCTGTATTTAAATTTATCATGCACACAAATTCATACGATTATCATTGCTTCGACAAAAAGAACAGATGTTAACACAAAACTTATGGCATTGACATTCGAAGTCTTTCCAAGATCAGTCGACAGTAAAAACAGCATTATATGTCATGCTCTCTTCAGAGGCCATAGAAAAACGACTGACAAAATCGCACTGCTTTCCTAATTTTAGAATGATATTGATTTTAATGAGAATGATATTCATTTCTTCTCGCTTCGGAATGTGATATCCTACATAGATCACTTAGGATCATTATTCGTCATGGTAGGAACAGGTTTAATGCTCAATTCTAGAAAATAACGAAAAGTCCGGAAAACGCTTGCCCTTGTATGGATGAGAGGGCGTTTTCAACAGACCGCTGGGCGGAGGGGGCGTTAATAAAATTACTAATCTCCTCTCATCCCCTCTGATTGAGTTGCATGGAAAGCAATTGCCTCAAAAATATGTGATTCGTTTGACTCACATTTTCAAGATGTCCGTCAGTGCCATTAATGCAATGTCTCGTTACTCAGCCGTTTCAGCATCCAATAATGACCTTCATGATTTCCGGCGTGGCCTTCTGACCGAATCCATAAATTTTACGTATCAGACTGGCGAATATCTTCATAATCCAAATCTGCCGAACTGGACTTCGGCTACAGCTACTAGAGTACCTTAACCACGGTCTCCAAAGGGTAAAAAGTTTCTGTTTTCTTTTAACTACTTCAATAACAGGCAGTTTCATTAGATTATATATAAAATCCAAATTTAGACAGACAGCAAGAGATTGCCCCTTCCAGATTTGACGCAAATTTCCATTTTCGAACAGAAATTGCAAACCACTGTTTTTCATCGGTTATAACAAGCGATTGGCTACCTCCTCATTGAGCCAAACTGGTGTTTCGATTGCAGATGAGGCAAAAAATATTTTATAGGGAATTTGCACCTTTTTACTAATAATCATTAAGAGACTTTGAATGTTATGGTTTGAAAATTAGCCTAAACCTGAGGTGGCTGTAAATGACATTCATTTAGCAATGATCAATGTTTACGCGATGTGCAATTCGGGTGACAAACATATTTCTGCGCGATACGCATGGGTGTGTAATTTGAGGGACTGTCGTGCAAATTGAGAAGAAAGTGAGGATTGAAGCTTTTAGTCACGTGCGACATTATCTCAAGCTTTGAGCTTCAATTAACTATGAATTAGACTTTCCATGACTAATTATATTGATCAGCTCCAGAGGTGTTCCGCGCAAACATGATGAGCTGCTCGTAAACCCGAGAATGTCAAATAACGAATGAATACGACATGACACGATTTCGATACCAGTTCCTCATATGAAGCTTTAATGGATTATGTTGGAGGAATCATTTCATATCAGCATGCACCGTTACGAACGAATATAAATCTTTCACCGTCATAGTTGGGCAAATCTTCACCAATCAGAAAGATGATAATATTAGCCTCTTTTGTTGAAGTTGGTTGTATGAACGATCAGGCCTGCTAAAGGAAACATGCTTTTTCCAGAACGAATGATACAGACTCGTGGATCATCACTCACAAATATCAATGCATTTAGAAAAACGTATAGGGAAGGGACCTCAAATCCTGACGAAATTGAGGGCCCCAGGGGTCCTTTCGAGGATAGTGACTAAGGGTAGAGTAACCGTTGCTAAAACCTGCCTCTAAGGCATACAGCTCAATACATTGATAATCACTAATGGTATTCCATCAG